GCGTGCGTGCGTACGTGCGTGCGTGCATGCGTGCGACCGCCTTGACCTGAGCAGCCTGTTTTCCCTGACCCGTCCTACTCCCGGCCAGGCCTCCGCTGAACCCTTCCCCGGCGGCCTACCCTCCCACGCCCCGAATGCCTAAGCCTAAACAAGCAAAGGAAGGGCTTCCTCCACATGCTTGTCGGGGTCAAACAGTCAGCATTCTGCCTACGAGTAGCTAACGTGACCCATGATGGGCGAGACAATTCGCATGTCAACTGCGCTGGCTCGCATCTCGAAGCAGTGAGCGCACAGATGTTCAAATGTCGGCGAAGCCGGGAGGGGTGGCAGCGCTCAAATATTCAATCACCCTGCCGCCCTGGCACTTCTCTACAGGCTCCTTCGAATCGGCATGTAAGGCTCCCACACTTCGCGAGGCGGCATTCTGTGTCCATGTGAAGAAGCCAGGATGTAGGCAGGTGCCTTTTTAACGCTCTTTCAGAAGGCGCCAATAACGCCTCTACTCGATAGGAAACGCTGAATGATGCTGAATGTTTGAATCTTGGCCTGCGATTCGACCACACGTGCCGCGCCGGCAACCAAATCAGAAACGCTAAAATATGCTAAAATGTTCCTGGTGCCGGCATAGTGCGAACAGAGCACTCGACAGCTGCAACAGGGAAAACATCACATTCGGCGGTCACAATAGACCCAAGTCTCAAGATCTGTCGAAATGCCCAATGGGCACTGTGGTTGCTGGTGAGCCTTCATGGCGATGTATGAATGCTGGAAGAGAGCATGCCAAATTGTTGCAATCTTTCGGAGCCGCTCTCTGCATGCGCACAGGGGTCGTCGTAGCTTCGGTGAAACATGTATTGTCACGAGCGACGTGAGACGAACGGGCAACTCTGCGGATGGGCCTGTGAACAAACCGTGTCCGTTTCCCCTTGGAGGCGTCTTGCATGGCGCTTCGCAGAGTCAGTCCGATTACGGGCAGGGCTGGTGGTGCCTAAAGTCCTACAGCTCTGCCAGGTGCAGCTCATCCAATGCCAGTGCGGCAGGGGCCTGCTTCGTCGGAGCCTGACAAAGAGCAAAGGGCAAAAAGGACCGCAGCTAAGAAGCGAGTTTTTATGCGAGCGCATTGCGCCTCTCGGAGCGGACGATCTGGCCATACCTGGGCCTGGCCGCTCTGAACGCGCTGAATAAAGAAATGTCGATTTTTCAGACACGGTCCCTGCCTGGTCCATCTTGGATGCATGACCGAATCCAAACGTCAACTCACCAGGCAAGATCACCTGCGCAATGCAAGTCACATTCGACAAATCTCTGCTCCTCTTACGCGCAGCATGTGAGACATCGAAGCTCATGCACTCTCTACCGGTCTCCTGTCTCGTGTCGTGGCCTCTCCGTACTTGTGCCGGCGTTTTACCTTGGCAGGGCCGTTACCTGACAAGGCAGGAGAACTGCAGACTGCAGGGTTCAGAGCAGACGGGGTAGCGCCACGGCGGGGCCTCGAAAGTCACTGACGGCCGGAAGCAAAGGAAGCAGCTGGACCGCTCCGTCCTGTCTCGAATGTTCAGGAATGTTCAGGACCTAGGACCTGTGCGACCAACGCAAAAAGTATGGCAGCTTCACAGCTCTCAAAGCGGAGGCTGAAGCACTGCAGAAGTTCCATCACATACACCAAGTGACTCTCGGACGCAGTCTCTTGGGAACAGCGTCTGAAAGAGGACTTGCGACGGTGATGGAGTCGCTACAGGTTTCGGCCTGTGGCCAAGAGTTCCGCATGACCAGCTCCGAAGGCTTCACGGGCCCGCCAGGCACGTCAGTCTCGCAAGGCACGTTCCGCATCACTTAGCACTCTGTGAGCACTGACACTGAGCACCAAGAGAGCTCTGGACCTCCTGCAACTCGACGCAGGGCTTCGTGGAGCTGTCACCGTGGGGACCTCAGTCGCACAAAACAAGCACTATCGTTCACCCTCGTCTTCGCCGCAAAGCTGGTCCCACCCGACTGGCAAACAGCTGCGGGTTAGGAAATACAGTTTGATGTGATGGGCCTGCAGAACCTCAGGTTTCACGACTTCCTGCCAAGACCTAGCAGAATGAACTCAGACGGTCGGCCATGCATGCGCATGGATATGTTCTGCATTTCTGATGACTCTTGATGTCCGCCGACTCCCGTGAGGGTCGAGGCCCGTGAGTCCTTTGTCCAGCCCGTCCTGCCCTTCCCGCGCTCACTGCTTTGAACTGCACTTGTGATGGGCGTGCATGTGGCAAGCCTCAAGTTGGATGCCTGTGACACTGCATGCGCGATTCATGCCTGCACGATGTCAACCCATCGAAGAGTGGTTCGGGCATGCGAAAATGAGTTGCAAAGTGCGGAAGCTTTTCAGGAACTCAGCTACTCTAATCAATCTACGCCGGAGCAAGACCAGCATCCAAATACTCCAGCGCCACTCCAGTTCGGCTGTCGTCGAAGATTAATGACCCTCAAAACATCCCTTCGTAAACATGATTTGCCATTATGTCAGCAAACACGAGCACAACGGAACTCGAAAGCAATCACCTACACTTCCCTCTAATAAAAATGTGAAGGTGGCAATCCGAGAGGGTCCCCCGCGCGAGTCCGGGCCAAAAGGCTCCCAAAGCCTCAGGCCCCTTCATGAAATCCACAACCGAAAACAGTGTGGCATTTATGTGCCTGGCGAGAAAAGTCCTGCAATGTAGCGAGCGAGTGGGGGAACTCTGGGCCTCAGCGCTCACCACTCGGACCGTACGTCGGTGAGGGAATATGAAAAGCTAGAAGGAAGCGGATTCCATCACTAGGGAAAGAAGGTGAAAGCCTCTCAGTAAGCGGTTAACACGGAGGCGATGACCCGGAGCGAAGCCCTGGCAGTCCGGGTGCGCAAGCTCGTCAGCCCACTGGTTGAGACCACGATTCAAAAGGAGCATAAGTTCCATAAGAATGGCCGCCGAAGGCATCTTTTTGGCCTTGCTGTTGAGGAGAAAGTAGATGTTTGCGTGGTCGTCGGAGAGTAAGTAATGATGGGAAGGCGCTCGTCCTGATCATTCTTCTCGATCAGGAAAGCTGTGAGAACCTGCGTCCCCAGCGATGCGGCGCTTTGGGGACCCTTTGGACGAAGGCCCAAGGGTGGCGATCTTCCACAACGTTGTAGTGGATCCAGAAGACGGAGGACTTGTCCGGGCAAGTCGGATCCATGGACAGCCAGCCTCCGATGTATGTTTCCGTATCGGAGGCGCTCGCTTTGATTGGCCCTGAAGAGCTCCCTCAGCCTCATGGCTGTGAACTTTGACTTCGCATCAGTAAAGCCTGGTTTGCTTGGCAGAACTGCAACTCCGCTTGCAAACGTCTGCACGCCTCCGTAGTGTCCCAGCGGTACGCTAGATCCTTTCAGTGACGTAACCCTCGGCAACAAGATTGGCCTGTACAACCCAGCACTTTCTGACCAAGAAAGTCTGGAGAGGGTTCGAGAACTTGCTCACATTGTTGCGGTGAGCGTCCGGGACCTCAGTGGGCGGAGCTTCATCCCCCAATGAGGGGTTGGGTGGGCGAGTTTTGTGTGTGCAGGGACACAATCAGCTTGAGCCAAAATGGCCTTCGCCACTGTGATTCAAGCGTATTCCGTATTCCTGACATAAGGCATTGCACGGGCACAGGCTGGTTACAATTGTAGCCATATGGTGCTCCACACTTCAATTTTTTAACCGCGAGTGGAAGTGTGAAGGTGGCAATCCGAGAGCGGTCCCCCGAGCGAGTCGGGGCCAAAGGCTCCCAAAGACTCAGGCTGGCACTGATGTGCTTGGCCAGAAAAGTGATGGCTGACGTCTGAGGGCAGCCTCCGGCTCTCCGACGTGGATCCAGATGAAACGGACCCTTCCCTTCATTTGCATGGCCCGTTGCTGGTCCCTGCGTCGCGCTGGTCCAGTGCTTGGGTAGCTCGTGGACCAGGCTTTGCGGGAGCTCCATAACCACAGCCGGCGTCCTGGACAGGAAGTGGTTGATTGCGAGGAAGGAACCCATCTCGCGGTACACGAGCCTCCGTCCTCGTTGGACTCAGACGGGCCAACCCATTGGCATTGAGAAGGTTGGTTGCCTTCTCCGTGCTTCTTTGACGGCAGAGGTGCGGGTCTCACGCGGTCTCGCTCCCTCGCTTGTGGCTTCCATGAGCGGGATGTCGCTTCGCACCGCATAGAGCTTCCTGGGACTGCGGGCGCAGGCCGCGCACCACCAACAAAAGAGGGCAAGGTCCACAGTGAAAGGGCTCTTCGCAGGGGCCAGAGGCACCCATCGCCAAGAAAGGTCCCTTCATATGCCTGATCAGGGGCAGGTGGGTACCCACAAAGCCCAGCGGGCTCCAATCCCCAAGGTCCCTGCTCCAAGCCAGGTCCGGGAGCGGGCCCTCTACAAGAGCCAGGCTCCGCCATATTCCGCATCTCGCCCAAGATGCGCTTGAAGCGGACGATCTTGCCCTCGATGCTGTCGGCCTCAAACTTCTCACTGCTCGGAGGCCCCTTTTCGGGGCCGAAGGCTTTCTTTGCATGGTTCGAGGCAATGCCCGGCGGCTCGGGGAGCAATATGGCAGGAATCTTGCCCCTGTTGGTCTCAATTAAGGACCGCATGTCCAGATACATCTTGCGGAGGCCGGTTGTCTCTCCAGCCCTCAGATCGAGTCGATCTTGAGAGCCAGGATCTTGTTTGCGCGGCCGGGCCTGCTCTGCCCATCAATTCCAGGAGCTGTCTCTTCCTGGGCCCTCCATCCTGCTTCTCTTGAGCAAGCTTCGGAACTTCTCCATATCCATGTCGCGCAACACCTGTGCCCCCAACGCCTCTTGGTCTGGGACGGATTGGGCTCCCGGTGCCAGAGGCCGCCGCACCCAAGCCCGGGCGGAAGTGCTCCTCATCCAGGGCTTTCTCGGTCTCCTCGGAGATGCGGGGTCCGCCTGCGCGGTGTTGTCATCATCTCCTAGGCTGAGGCGGGCCACCAACTTTTGCATCACCTCCAACTTGGCAAAAAACATCGTCCCTGGTGACGTTTTCGACGATCTCTGCCTCCTCCTCGGTCGTCACGTGCCGAAATCGCGGCACCATCAATCTCCACAGCTCCTTTGCTGCCGCAAATCCTTCAACAACAGTCCAAGCATCAGCTGGGGTAGCTGGCACCGCCATGGCGAGCAAAGGCGAGCGATGGAAGAGTTTTTTCGCAGGGACACAATCAGCTTGAGCCAAAATGGCATTCGCCATTGTGACTCAAGCGTATTCCTGACATAAGGCATTGCACGGGCGCGGGCTGGTGCAATTAGCCATACAACGCGAATGGTTTTCGTTGCTCCGAAAAACCGTAGCACCCAGCTGCTAGACTTGGTTCAGGTGACTCAACTATAGATGGCTCGTCGGCCTCCAATTCTGCCACTATGTATGTCAGTCAATTCTACCAGTTGACGTGAGTCTCGAACCGTCCTGGAGGGAAGATGGTTCTGTTTTGACATTCCCAGAGCAAAGCACGAAAGGGCAGGACAGGACGGAACAAGCCTGCAAACAACCGAAACGCCCGCAGCTGCAACGTGATGGACAGCCTGGAAGCATACTCCTCCTGGCAGAATGTTCCGTTGAGCTGGACTCCACTGTGTCGCGGGCCCATCACAACAGGAGAGTTCGGGGAAGCCACGGCACATGCCTCGCAGTCGCAATGCACAACTTACAATGACTTCGCTTGTTGCGTCGAGACGAAGATCCGAAGCTACCTGGACTCATTCGTTCGACCTCCTCTCTCAAATCTTCCGGCCCGATGCTTGTTGGTTCAGTTGCTGAAGCATAGAAGAAAGGAGCATTCAACGCAAGCCCACCTGTGGCGTGCAGAACATCGCGTGGCATACTGGAAAGCTGCCAGCGGGTGCTATTGGCATGTCCATGACGATCTCGACAAGACATGCCTGCCGCGAAGCAGAGTCGAGCTGTCTGAACTCAGCATGGGAGCACGAGATATGTCATGATGGTGGCTTGAGCTGCCTCTGCATCATAGGTTCTGCATAACCTTGGATGAACGGCGTAGTTTGCACGAAGCTGAGCAGATCTGAGCGGTGCAAAGGTAATGACAACAACGCAAGCTGCTGCCTTCTTTCCTTGCTATATGTATCGCACCTCAAACGCTCAAATTGCGGAACGTCCTGCAATCTGGCTTCTCATGCAGACATCTATAGACGCCATACGCCATGTCACTGAGACGTTTCTTGGCAGGTCTTCGTCAAGTGAATGCCTGATCAAGACCGGTGTCATGTTCAATCTGCGTCATGTCTGTCAAGATGGTACTCGAGCAAGAAGTCGCGAGGTGCCTGCTGCATGCTGCACTGGCTCCGAACTCTTGGGCCTCAGAGATTTATGGGATGTTGTGAGCGATACGGCAACGTCTACTGATGCGATCCTCGATCCTCTCCCCAAGAGCGCGGCAATGGCGGCGGCAATGGCATCTGAGGCAACTCGCTGAGGGAATCGGCATCACTGGATGTCCAAGCAATCTCCATGGCCTCAGAAGACCCGGAGCCCAGAAATGAGTGTTAAGCTGAAGGCCGTTGCTACAGCTATTGGCCTCCAGGCGGTCGTCCTGAACTGCCAGCTGGCCACCCTTCAAGTCAGGAGCCAGTGGCTTTGGCGTATCCACGGATTTGTTCTCCAATTTGTCTGGCTCAGCCATGGAGTAATACTCCTTCTGTCCAGTATCGAAGACATAATCCAGAAATGGCTGCTTTAGTGGCCCATCCCGAACAATGAGGTCTCCACTGAGGTCCATCACCTGCCCGTCAGCAGCTTTTGCCTCATCCAAAGACGGAGTTTTGGAGACACATTCTTCTTCCTCCCGCGTGGCTTCTCGCATTCTCAAAGACACCGTCACTTCGCGGCCGTTGATACGATACCGCCCCTGTGCTTTACGAATGATTGTGTTGTCCTCGAGTATCGCTGGCCATTTCTCGCATAGCTGCTGGATCTCTTGGTCAATGATGTCTCGCGACAAGAAACCCGGCAGCGCATCCCTGCCAGCAAAACAGATATCACGTCAGCCAGCTTCAGCAAGCTTAAGAGAGCCTTCGGCGCATCAGCTGCAGGTTGGGCACGCGCGGCGACGACTGTGCTTCTTGCAGCCTCGCAGACCGCAGCATCTTATGTCACCACTCTGACCAGTGACCAACCAGTGAGAGCGCGATTTCAAGCTGGGGCTTACAGTCGGGATCCATCCGGGCAGTCAAACGCCTGGTGAGATGCAAACCTCAGCCCCTTAAACGGGATTGAACCTGGAATCGAACCCCATAACCCCTACATCGGTTTTGAGATATATTCCTCTGATTTCCGCTCTGGAACCAGCCAGAAACCATGTCAAATGCCTGGTCTCGAGGGAATAGATAGATGGAGAGAAGGGTTTGCAAGGACTCCGTGTATCTGCAAAGCCTCAAACGGCTGCGATCTAGCCTGCTGTGAAAGCATACCGGCCCACCTTGGACTGAATACTTTGTTGCTGCCATGGCCAGTATAACCTGCGAGACAAAATTGTCGCAACAGCCCTCGACAAAGTGTAGCCGGCTTGCATTCCTAGTTCAATGCTGCCACCTGCCCACCGTGGCTAGCCCATGCTTGCAAGGGGAAAACTAAGAGCTAACCAAAGACAGCGTTGGAATACTGGGAGACTGCTGCGAGCAGGGCGGATGGATGATTAATCTTGGTGGCATTCTGCAGGCTTCAATGGAAGGGGGAAACCAATGCCACGAGGCTTTGGAAGTTGAGATAGGCTGGAGTGCTGCGGGGTCTTTAAAACTGACCAGAGCCCGAACAGCAAGCACATGCGGTATTTCGGGCAATGGTACTGGCAATGCATGCGGCATGGTGCGCAAAATCGGAATCTCCGAAGGTCAGCACTGATTCGGCACTGATTCAGCACTTGCAGACCAGAAGGTGCTGTGTGTTCTGACATTTCTGACATTGGAACGCTGCATCTTCGAAACATGAACTCCAGTTGGCCTCGGTGCAGGTCGTGTCATGAGACCAACAGCCAACAGCGACCATCAAGGCACAGGGAAGGCAAGGCTTGAAGGCCAGGGGTAATCTTGGGCTGACTGCTAGATCACGGCAGTGGTGCCCTCGTCGTCGTCAACTGCAACAGCACCATCCTGGCTCACTGAAACGGAGATGGTTCTGTGCTGCGGCCCGGCGAACGCGCCGGCCTTGAGCGCCGGCCGCTCCTCGGAGCGCTTTTGGCGGCTCGCGCTGCGCCGGCTCCGCGAGCGCTCCCGGCGCTTGCGATCGCGGCTGCGGCTGCGGCTTTTCCGCTTCCTCTGAGAAACACAACTTCTGCGCTTCTTCCATCTTCTTGCAACCCTTGCAAGGCCTGTCTCTTTCTCTGCTCCTTTCCCTCTCCTGTACATCACACATGGACTCACATGGACTCATGACAGACCTGCATGCACATATAACCCATGAATGCGGGAAGTAGCCTTCGCCTTTCGATCCTTTTCCCTGCTCGGTGCACGCACAAGGCACGAGGCACTCAAGCATCACGAACGGCCATGCAAGCACCGCAGAAGATCACCTGTCTCGTTCTCTGTCGTCGTTGCGTCTCGAGCCTCCAGGAACCTGAGCCAATCAAAATTCATGTTCTGCGTGAGTGCGTGACTAGCCTCAGTCGATTCTTTGGCTCCCGGCCCGATCCATCAGAGCACGAGACCCACCGCTATCAAGGTCGCGCCTCCCCTTGCCGCCTCCCGCACCCCGGTCATCACGGCCCTTGCACCGGAGATGCGTGATATGTAAGTCGCCTCACTCCGTAAGATTGTGGCATGGATCTGAGAATACGGCTGACCCTCCTTTTCCTCCTCCCCGCATCTGAGCCCGCATAAGGTCCCGCGACCTTGAGATCCGCTTCACACTGGCCAAGCCATGCTGAGGTTGCCGTTTGTCGGGTCATGAAGGCAAGAAGCGTCATCAAATTGCTACCTCGAGCTTCGAAGTCCCGAGCATCTTGTGTCCTGCAGGTGGCGGCGACGAGAAGCGACACTGGGAGATCCACATTTCGTCCTTGCCGGTGCCATTCGCCACTCGGCCTTTAAGCTCACGCCGTCCTTGTGCTTCTGCTGTGGCTTGTGACGTGGCTTCGGCTCAAGTTTGGGCACCGCACAAGAAACAGTTGGCCTGCTTGAGAAGCCTCGAAAGCGGCCTTGCGACAGGATCGACTTCACGCTGCACTGCTTTCCTCAAGCTGTCACTCTTCAGAAGACTCATCGGCCACACCTGCGCTGCTTTGGTGGTACCAAACTTGACGTACCTTTCAGCTGATTGAGAGCTGCAATTTCCGTGTTACCATGGCTCAATCATGGTTCCATTACGAGGCACGCTCTCTCATTGCTGCGATGCTCTAATGGAGGTATCCAGCATGCTGTCACCTCGCACTCACAGGGACTTTTGGGCAAGCGAACTGAGTCCACGCGCGGAGAAGAACTCGCCTCGCCGAATTGCTGGAAAAGCATCTTCAGCGCGATGCGGCTGCTGTACCTCCCATATCCAAGCATTCGCCGTGCGAGCATTGTCAGCATTCGATTGTTTTTTCAACTCTACGGAGAGAGGTCACTCGGTGATGCCCTGCACAAGGTCTAAAGCTGTCGTCCCTGCAGGCATCGTTGCAGGCCTTTGCAACCACTCGGGTGCTTGATAGCATGACAAGGAGACCCCAACATGCCGTCTGCATCGTCACAGTATTGCTCCCTCAGAACATGCAGCCTGATCTGGCAACGAATCAGATTCGGCCCCCAGCTTCGCTTTGGCTCCAGCTAGACCAGGAGCACATGAAGCTGCGCATGCATGTAAATCCAATACAACCCTCCACGCCAAGAAACCGAGCAATGAGGCTGGTGAAAGCTGAAAACCGATGGTGGCTGCTCACCTAGATAGTGTCAAACTGCACGCCGCCTGAACGATAGGTCAACCTCACGTGCTGTCTACTGCAACCTGGTGTCAACTTGAGCCAGCGGTTCTCGCCCTTGTTTCCGAAAAACCAAACATGTACGAGGGAGTCTCCGTCGGCGCTGAGAGTTGCAAAGCTTCCTTTTCGTAATTAGATGCAAGCTGTCTTGCAAGCCAGGCAGGGCAATTCTGAAAATCCCTTGATTCTCAGTGGTGTTCAAAAGGGGAGGCGGGCTGTACAGGAGCCATGCGCCCTTGCATTGATGCTAGACTGGCAAAATCGGCAAAAGCTGAAAGTTCAAACAGAATCCTCTCAAAGCATTGCTAAAATGACAGGCTCAAGATGGGAAAGCTGCTCAAAGCAAAAGTGACGATATCACCGCCTGTGGTCACATGGGCAGGCTTACGCAATTCCTTGTGAAGAGGCTGACCATTAGCGAAGGTTTTTGACCACGGCTGGCTACGCTCTCTTCGGATCTACGACAAAGCCCTTTTGCTAAGACCGGCGCTGAAGGGACTCGTAGTCGCTTGGCACATACCAACTCGCATCCTGCACTTTCAAGCATAACAGCCTTACGCGGGAGCAAGATAAGCCGAAAGGGCGAAGCAACGGTGTTCCCGCGCCTTTCCTTTCATGCCGCTAGCAGCCGCTCCTCGGCAGCTGGAAGCGCGTCGCGTCCACAGATATCGTCTGCGAGCTTCTCTGCCATCATGATCGTAGGCCTCCGCACACTTTTGTATGGGCGCTTTGCCAGAAAGGCCGCTCAGCCGAACAGGCATTCAGGCACGAAGCACACTGAACAGTTCCATGCTCTCCAACACCTAGATAAACGATCCAACCCTGGCTGAGGTCGCTGCGCATTTAGGTTTCCACTGGTCATGGATGGCATTATGGATGCATCCACGATGCGCAGCTTTTCCAAACCGTTAACCCGGCCCTTCGCGTCCACAACTTTTCCCATCGCACAAGTGCACGACAAATGATATCCTGAAGATCAAGGCAGGAAACTTTTGACACAGATGCGGGGTTTAGAGTTTAGACAAACAGCAATCCGCCTGAGTGGCTAGAGGAGCGGATCCAGCTATCGACGGCCTCATCGGAGTCCAAGTCGAGATCGGCAGGCGCGTAACGTCGCAGCTTGAATTCGCTCAGAGCGCTCTGCTCCATCAGCTCCACTGTCAATCGCAGCCCAGCACGCATATCTATTCGGTCTTCCTCCGTGGAGAGGAAGTTAGGATCGATGAGAGGTGCATCCAAAATGTTGCCGCTACTGAGCTGAACTGTGCCACGGCTGGTCGGACGCATTGTGCCACAGTGAGCCTGGTAGCCATGCTCTGGAAGGAAGTCCAGCTGGCCAGTTACTATCCCAGGGATGAAATGATATTGCAGATCAGGGTGGCGCATCGCAGGCCGTGATCTGATGAAGCCACCCACCTCGAAATGGTTAGAAGAGCCAATGCCAGCACCCGCCATGAACCAGAGAACTCCAGCATGAATGGCTCTCCATGGCTGACGGTAAGCGTACTTTGACACCACACCAAGGCCAGGAAAGGTTGCGGCCCAAGGATACAGCGAGCACGGGTAACGGCTCCTGAGTGTTTAAGGCTGGACGTCTCACTTCTCTAACAATACGCTTGCGAAATCTCAAAGCTACTCAGTTACTCCTAGCCATGGCGCAGGTACTGCACGTAGAATTCAAGGTGATCTTGCAGATTCTGACCCACAGCTGGCTGGTCAAGCAGCACTGGAAGTCCTAGACGCTCAAGCTCCTTGCAATCACAGATGAATTGAAATCTCACGCGTCGAGGTCTCAGGGCGTCTGAGCAAAGCGGCAAGAACCCAGTCCCCTTTGCTTGGGCAATGCGTTGTCCACCACACATCCCCGTTCCCCGTCGCCAAACCTCCCCACAAATAATCCATCACAAGCTCCTTCTCAACTTTTGTCAAAGCCCCTGCGGCGCTTGAAACAAAATCTTACGGTGTTGCGACCTAGCGTATGAGAAAGAAGTCTGTGCTGCGAGGCTTTGGGTGTGCTGCAATGCGGTCTTGCCCAGCCATCCAGAATGTAAAACGCCCGTAAGCTACATCGGCCGCGACTCCTCGTACTACTTTGGAAACCGCAGCCCTAGTATGCCCTATTGCAAGGGCAGGGCAACAAGATGCAAGAGGGCCTTGGCATCGCCAATGCCACTCGTCATCAGAAGCTGCGGGGAGCCAACAGCACCTAACAGTGACAGTACCGCGGCTACGGCCTTGAGGACTTTCTTAGCACGGGGCCTGCTGATAGGATGACCTCCTCGCGAGCGAAGTGGCGCTGCACAACTCCAGAGGAATCACTGTGAAAGCCGCCACCTCGGTAGGAAAGGCCGAAGAGTAGCAGGGATGTGTGGGCGCACAGGGCCATGCCTCGTTTCGGCTTCGGAGATGGAATTGTTTCCACTCCAACCACCTTGGTACCTTCGCAAATAAGGCGTACAGCCATCTGGTTCGTGACCACCTGCCAACAGCTTCTTCCGGGTTCAGCCGAAGGTCGAGTTAAGCAAAGCCTTGAGTCGCTTTCCGGCTGCCTCGTCCTCACAAGCGGCGAAGCACTGTAGCGCAAGTCTGTCCGCGCATGACCTTCTCGCAATATTTTCCCGCTGCCTCTGAGTTTTTCGGATACATCAGCGGTTTCAGATAGCATTCCCATGTACTTGCCCGCTTGCCATCGGGCCTCAGTTGCGGATGGCTTGAACGCAATGAAATCCTCACTGACAGTTGTTGAGAGCAAGACGTTACTGTCATGTCCATTTGTCCGAATCCTTCCTGCTGAAAGCCGTTCATGTCTTCGGTCCTGGCGAGGGCAAGGGTTGAAGTGCTGCTGGCCCCCTCTTCGCAACAAAAGAGCTTGCTCCTTGGGTATCCAGCCTTGCCGGCACAAAATTCTCAAAGTTGCAACTTGGTGTACTCAGTGTACTTCTCACTTCGAGAGGAACCTGCTCACCGGCGGCAAGGAAGGCATCGTTGATGGCCGCCACAGCAGGTGTTCTACGACGAGTCACAGAAAGTGGTCCGGAACCTGCCAGACAAGAGCGGTGAAACGATGTGTCGCCAGGGCCGGAAAGTCGAACCGGCCTCCACGATACAAAGATTCGCCCTCTTGATGAGCCTGCGCTTTGCGATAGTACGGCAGGATGCTCCTTCAGGATCTGCGCACACACTGTGGCACTGGAGACTACTCGCAAGGGATGCTGCACACATCTACTTGGCAGCTCATCAAGTAATCTGGGATGTGTCCTGTAGGCCCAGGCATGACCACCCTCACCGATTTCCTGTGCCCACCGCTCGTAGTCAAGGGCGTGGCCTCTCCTGCACGTTGTACAGTTGGCATGATGAGACGGAATGGAACCTTAAGAACAGAACCCTTCAAGACCTGCCTGATTCCGAATATTCCGAGCCCGAGCCGAGCCAGCCGAGCCAAGGCACACGTAGGCCATGGCGTTGAGGCTCGAGGACCCGCCCAGAGCTCGACCACGCGGCTGGTGTAAGCGTCGGCCATCCATGTGCCGCTGGGGGACCGTGTAGAAGTCCCAGTTGTACTTGGCCTCAGAGAAGCGCAGCACGGCGAAGCCTCCACAAGAAGGCCACCCGCCGCAACTGCGGATCGCTACTTGAACGAAGCGGCGTTGGCCAAGTTAAAAGTCAGCGCAGCGGGCATGTTGATCTTCCACCAATCCCATCGACCCTGATGGCTGCTACCGTTCTCGATGAGGAGGACCTCGGTTCTACCGTGAGGCATCATAGAGACCGTTGGAGACTCGACGCCTTAGACTTGGAACACACCCTCTTGCAGCAAAAGAGCTTTGGCGCCTGCGTCTTTCACAAGGCGATGGGCCAAAACAGCACCAGCCGAGCCAGCACCGACAATCACGTAGTCATAGCCTCCTTAGTTGTGGCGTCCGGCGTGAGTGCACAGACTCAAAGCAAACCCGCGTTTTGACATGGGCCTGCAGAGCTGATGGACCTGCTCCTGGTAGCCAGGCTCGTGGCGGAGCGAGCTGACAACATGAGCTTGCTTCCAACGAGCGAATGAGCGTAAAGACGATCGACCTGGTGAATCTCTGCTTGTGATCGTGCTTCGGGTAAGCTGACATACAAATCCAAGAACGCAAGCTTGGGGTTGGCCGGTCGGCCCGTGCGAGCACAGAAGCTTCGTTGGAGCCAAAAGCAAACGACGAAGAGGAGCTAAGCCTTGCTAATGGTACACAGCTTGCTGGACGAAGCTCCACAACTACCACATGCTGCGAGCCTCAAGCGTAGCATTTTTGACTAATTTAGCTGCCCGAGCGCCCCCTGCCATGGACAGTCGCTAAGTCTTGCATTTGTTCATGAGCTTTGATGTCCAGATTTGTTTCTCCGCGCAAAGCAACAACTGCAAGAGTAAACCAGTGCATCAGGACATCAAAACAAATCCGTGTGATGCATTTGCAGGCTTGACATGCAGCCTCTGCATGCGCCTGGCGACTGATAAGCCTTTCAACTGTTGCCAGCAATGGTTGCTGGGATCCCACACGTGTTGGGATGCACGGCTAGAGTCGGTTAGAGCATTGTGAAACTTTTGCTGCCTATCTGCAGCTTCACGCGCGGCTCAGGGAACTGAATGCAGTGTTGAGACGACGACGGTTACCAAGCACTCTGGCAAGGAAGCCCTACACATCTCCAGCGGTGTTGGAACACCACGCCGGTCCGATCACAGATAGCTGCCGCGATGCTACTCAGAAGCAAGCCACGCAGCAGCCTCGCGGCCTCGCTGGCTTCTTCCAGATCACTTGCCATCAGGCGCATCCACAACTCCACCTGGTGCACAACTGACAAGCAAGCACACATCAGCAGACCCTGTACGAGGCAGCCTGCATCAATAGCGAACATGGCTTCGCCTTCCGGCAGGGAAGGCCTCGACCCACGAAGTGCTTCGAAGGAAGCATCCCCAACACACACGGCTTTGCTTGGAACTTTTTTACTCTCGTCGACTGAGAACTGAGGTCAAAACGAGTCGTAAATTTTGCAAATACGAGTCTCCCCCTGCACAGGGTGATACCCTCCGACCAGCTTCGTGGAAAGCAGTATAGCTGCAGCAGTCATGTTACCACCTTGCCCTTCCGGAAAAAGAGGCGTGTCTGGCTTGCATGGCCGATGATGTGGCCACCGATTGGCTTTACCTGCGGCTTTCCGGGTGCGGCTCCGAAGGAAACCCACCCTTGTCAGGGACGGGCTTCCTCTTTTCGGTGCTTGCAAGATGTTGTAGGAATGTTCAGCACTATCAGCACTCTCCTCTCCCTCTCAGAGATGGAAGACCGAAACCTGTGCATTGCCCGAATCCGAAATGCCCACAGTTAGAAATCCCGGCCCCAGCCTGAGGTCCCATGTAAGCGGCTGGCCCGCTTTCTGGGGATGCCATTACCTAGCGACATCTACGTGAACTTGGTTTTGCCAACTCCTGCATCCTCTCTCTGACACTCTGCCTGGTTCGTGATCACGACGGCAACGCCGTGCTCGTCAGCTATTCGCTGCAGCTTCCGCAGAAAACGGTTCAGTGCCTGCAACCCGCAAGCTGCATCTAGTCACTTGGTGCACACGCTGCTCAGACAGCCCCAGTTTGCTCAAAGAGACACGCCCGCTCGCACCTGTTGGCGATCCGCCAGCTCTCCCCTGCTGGTACAACAACTCGACTGGACATGACTAGAACAATGATGCCAGTAGTGATACTGATTATGAGTATCGCATGATGTTGACAAGATTAGAAGTGTGTTCGATCAGTGATGAGCCGTGCTAGAAATCTTCGAGTAAGCATCACCCTGCCTCCCACTGTAGTCGGTGCGAAAGAGCCCAGTCGCACTATCCACGATCAGGACCGCCTCAGCACACCATCTGCTAGGAAAGCCAATGAGCCTCAAAAGTCACTAGGCCTTGGACATATCTTGACTCACAAAACACGCTGGCAGCTTCTACAAGGAGCTTGTCCTTCAGATCCGCTGGAACAATCCGTTCAGCCGACTTTCGGCTTCGAAACCACGGGGGTCTCAAAGAACTGTCATGCGTGAATACGTGATGGCTCGCACCCACTGTGACATCATCTGGGCTGTCCTGGTGTTCGGCATTGTAGGCCCGGGCATATGTAACATTCTCGAGAACGTCCTCTCATCTGCTCTTGCTGTGCAAATGCATGCATGTCACAAACCAAAGAGGCCCAACATCAAGCAGGGTAGACATGAAATTGAGGTAAGCTTATATCAAACCCAACTGCGCAAAGCAGTCGGTTGTCGGGTCCAGGAGCTGCCCCGTCCTGCCTCTTCGTTCAAACCGTAGCGTTTAGCTATGTCTGCCAGTCTTTCGGGTCGGAAAGTGCCCTGCGATCCAGGCAGGCATCCCCGCGTTGAGGCGTGTGGAAGCAGCACTGGGCACCTCTGTATCGATGTACAAGGCCTCAGCAACGGCTGTAAACAGAAGGACCGGAGCTGCGGGGGACGGACGGGACGGAGTTGCAGGCCTTGCTCTCACCGCCTCCCCGGCTGATCGGCAGCTGGCACGCCACGCAGAGAGTGTGGCCTGGTCTGCTCATGATGTATTGCAGGAAAAATTTCCTCTGGAACGTGCGGCGTGATGACATTTATGTTGAGGGTCATTAAGACTGTTATTCATGCGTAGGCGCCAGGCAGAGTTGGGTTTTGCCGCAACGAAATTCACCGAATATCTGTGCAAGCGGGGCAACATCGAGGGAAGCTCTGCAAGCGCCCCAATGTGCCCCATGCGGTGCGCATTGTGTCGCGAGGCCTCGGTGATTTGCCCGGTCCTGGCACTGTCCATTGGACCAAAGAAGTTCAACAGACTTCCGGTGCACGTCGTCACTGCTCGATTGTTTTTGTGCAATCCTGTTATGGCCACAACTTTGGCGAAATCATGCTGCTGCCTGTCTGTTGGTTGCATCTCTGTAGAAGCTGACACGGACGTCAGTAGCTGGAGACTGCTCCGGCACGTCCTGCCTGTGTTTGTGTGCGGCATCTCTCTTTCTGGTTGGTCAGCAGGAGCGTGGAAGGTGGCTTTGCAGCAGACTGCAGAATCCAGTTGCTGTGGAAGTGTCGATGGGCTAAGCCAGCAGCGATTGCAAAATCTACAACGAAAGCTAATGTTGGCGATTGGCTAATGCAGTAAAACATGCCGGCATGACTCTACTCCTCCTTTCAACAGGCTATCCAGCTTGACAGATCCTGTGGTAATTTGAACCTGCCAGGGAACGAAGCCACACGAAACTTACAACACAATCTTTGTATGGCCCCCGACCATGTTCTTCCGAAGCTGGAGCATTTCTGCAGCACTGACCTCAACTGTCAGCTGCTGTCTGCAAGAGTGCCACGCTTCTGCATCAGTCTGTGGCACCCACCATGCGCATCGGAACTAGCTGCTTCGCAGCTGCATGGATTCGGGCTGCCTCGTGCTTGGTAGCTTCAGTATTGGCGGACCACATTTCTCGATCTCGTGAAAACCAGCGGACATGCAGTGTGCCCTTGCCCATCTTCAAAGAAATAGAAGAACCATCAATACGAATCTCTCAGCTCATCCAAGGACGCAGCTTTGGTTTCGCCGATTCCTTTAACCTCATGCCTCGGTGCGAAGGGCGAGACAGAAGGTGATGCCTGCTTATCCTGCTTCAAAGTCAAAGCTGAGGCTTTCACAGCTTTCGCAAAGGCATGAATGCGATGGTCTCAACCTCAGCCGGCAAAAGTCGGCTCAGGACAACGGCCACCATGACGCCGCTTGACACAAGCCAGGACAGGATGAACTTCGCTGTAATTGTTCTGTAAAGTCCTTCCAAAGTAGTAGCTGACATGGCGAATCACTCAAGGAGACCCGAAAACAGTAGCTTTTTCCTACGGCTGTTCCTGCTACCATCTGCGGCTGCTGGCTCCAGCAACACATGGCAACGAGCACCCAGGGCTCCGTCGCAATGGATGCCGTGGTCGAGAAGTGCATTCAAGTCGGTCTGCGCACATTTTCATCAGTCCATGTAATATGATTGACTTCAGCGACCGTCACTTCAGCAGCGCACCTTTGAAATGCCTGCTCCCTTCTGGTCCACTGTTGCGCACAAGCGCTCCAACTGCCAAGAAGATGTAAATCTTGCTCCGCATCACTTGGCAAAGCCCTCGTTCGACCCCGGTGCGGCGTTGGTTCAGATATACATGGCTATGTTGCCCTTGCTTTATGTTCCTCCATATGTCGGGAGTATAGCGGGTCGCAGCTCTGCCAGCCGAAGCCACGAAATTCTCCGAAGCCGAACAACGAAAAAAAGTCTAGGCTTTAGGCTGTGGGGCCACGGCAATTCAAACTTTCGCGAGAACTGAAGCTCCATGCAGAAGATGCCAGCCCGAACTGTAACGCAGAAACCCAAATCGTGCCTGTTGGAACGGCCCCCAAATGTGCAGAGCTGGACATGCCGGATTCACCCGGGTGATGCCAGGCTCGTCATTGTCATCTTCAGCTTGTACGACCTTTCAGTTGGAGCATGTTGAAGCACCAGCAAAACTCTACACCGCACACGCCGTTAGGTAAAGATCGTCGCCTGTGCACTCGGGTCGACAGCCTTGCAAACTCCCAACTGACAAGAGTCACTGTCTACAGCGCGGCGCTCCCTCATGTGCCTCTGCTGCAGGTTCCTGCACGGGAGAACCACACACAAACCGGCATCGTACTTCGTACACATGGCATGCTTGTCAATGCTTATTTTATCTTGCTTTGCAGCCATATCCCTAAGCGGTCGTCCTCGGCGGTCTCTCTTCTTGCTCTTTTCGGCTGGCGCGCCTCGTGGCCATGCCAACGTCTCGTCTGTGTGTGCTCCGGCCTACGTGTATGTCTGCAAGAGTGAGCGCATACGATTGTGTGTGCGGGCGTGTGCGTACATGCGAAGGCGAGTGCGTACATGCATGCTTGCCCCCAACCCGCCAACCCCCCGCGCACGGGCTGCGGTGGATGCATGTGCGTGCGTGTGTGCGTGTGAGGGCATGTCTCTGTCTCTGTCTGTGTGTGTCTGTCTGCGTCTGTCCGTGTTTGTCTGCGTTGTCCGTGTCTGTTTCTTTCGTCTGTGTCCGTCTCTGTCTTCTCTGTGAGTGCCTGTGATTGCTGTCATTGCTGTCATTGCTGTGTGCCTGAGTCTGTGCGTTTGTACGTCCGTGCCTCTGTGCGTTTGTGTGTCTATGCGTCATTTTGTGTCTGTGTCTCTATGTCCCTGTGCGTGCCTGCGTGCGCGCGCTTGTACAGCACACCGCACTCAGGACAAAGCTACATACAAGTTCAGTCCAGCCGAGGAGCATTTTGTTTCCGAGTGGCACAAACTGCAACATTACTGTTGCAAACATTTCGATTCTCCTGTTTGTTGGGATGTACAACGAACAGGCAGAGCCAAGCTCATGCTTGATTTCGTGAAAACCATCCCGTCGACTGGTAGTTCAAATAAAAGAAAATTCAACCAGGTGCTTGAGAGGTATTTTGCTCGGAAGAGCAAACGACGCACAGCTCCCGCTCAGTTCGTTTGCTGCTTGATCTGGGTACCCTGGACAACCAAAAAGACATCATGTTTTCGGGAGCTTTCGCATAGATTTTTCCTGTACAGTACCTTTTCGTACTGGTGTATTCTTAATTCATTCATCCACAACAACACTGCTACAAATTACAGTCCGTGCTGCCTCGTTCAACATATCGAAGAAGACCTCCGAAATGGCTGAGCCTTCTTCTGCTCCCAGCAAGATTCGCCTGTATGTTGTCATTCCTGGCAATTACCTCTGCCGACCAACTTCTGCCGACTCTCCAAAAAGGTCATTGAAGTTGTGCTTCCTCCGACCGACTCCGTTGACATTGCCGAGAGGCCCATATCTGCTCGGATGCATGAGATCACTTTGCAGTACCGACCACCAAGCACTTCTTAATTCGTTCAAGATGGGAAACATATCCAATTTTGGGAGCCCATCACAAAGTTTGACGTCAATCGGCCTATCGACGTAAGTGACTCAACGTGACATTGCTGAGCCACAACAAGTTTCTGATTGCGACACTTCTTGCGGTGCCACCTTCTCAAGCAATCGTGTAGGAGGTCGTCGCCTAACTCCTGTGTTTGCAGCCCCGGATTCTGATCATTTGCCCAAGGCATATTACCGTGTGCTGCGATTTCATCATGCTCTGCCAGATCTTCTTTTCCCGAAGCTCCTCGATATTGATGACCTGTTTCTCGCCAACCGTGTACTTCCGACGACCGCCAGTCTCCGAGCTTTCGTTCGGTCAATTTCCAAGAAGCGACGTCGAAAACTTCCTCATGTTCACATATATGGTCACGGGATTCCTCTTTTGAAACCGAAGCTGTATCGTCGCCATCCATTCAGAAGCCGCAACGACTTTCGGTTGGACTTTTGTTCAAGAAGGAATAACTTTCTTCTACACTTTGAATTCTTGTTTCAGACTTACAACAGCGGATTCTGGATGCAGATAAAATTTTGTCTGCAATCAGTTCATGTCTCACCAATGCTGCTTGTGTACAAATGTGATTTGCTCGTCAAGTTTTTCAAACTTACCGTTTGTCGGTGCTTTTCGGCTCCAGAGTATTTTCCCCGTGTATCTCCCTCCGTGCTGTCATGTCGCTGTGCCTGCCTCCCGATGTCCTCGAAGCTGTTGCCAGCTTCCTCACCGTTGTCGAATTCTAAATTGGAGGCACTGACCGAAGGGCATCGTGGACCTTCATTGAAGAGCCAGACTTTGACTACGACCTGGCTATGCAGCAGTCAGGGCATACTTTACAACGATGGGCCGTTCAAAACGGCTTCGCACCATCCATTCGTTCAACTGTCAATCGCAGTCAAGCTATCCGTCATTGCGATTTCGGTGCTGTCGTGCGATTTGCTTCCATTTCGAGGTCTTGGGTCAAGCCCATGGTTCGACACGCTAACACACACTGCATTTTAAGTCTTGGTGAATCCCTCGAATCAGCAGTCGGAAGAGGATTCGATTTGATTGGCTTAAATCTGCCCATATCGAGCGGATATTTTTTGACTCTAAGGTCCTAAGAGTCCTTACACAGGGTCGGATTAAGGCTCCAATTTCTGTGTAGCAGCCTTTTCTGCGCAGCAGCCGGTGTATCGCTTCACGATGACACATGCTGAATTTTTAATCACTCAGTTGATGCTGCGTGGTACAGGAACCGATGTCAGCAATGAAAACCTCTGCGGCTTTGCTGTTTAGGAATGCCCGAATGGCTTCCTGTGTGCGTGGAACTCTGTCACTAAGAGTCTCTTGTACTTGCACAGTTCGCAGGGGAATGTGGCACTTGCATCCTACCACACTC